TTTTATCCATATATTTATTTACAATCAATTTTTAAATTTCGATATCTGATATGAAATTAAATTCTATTAAGATTGAATTATATATTTAACTCAGATATCGATACAAAATTTGACTCATTTATCAGATCTTATAAAAAGCCTAAACTTTAAAAATAAACATATGACCACTATTTAATGAATTACCCAAAGATTGAATCCTAATTTTTACACTAATCGATCAGAAAAGTTTATTTATATTATTCCATTAGCATATGATTCATATATTTATAGCTCATCGCTGGAATCTTTGTAACTAATCAAAACTTTAAAATTATGAACTCTAATGTCATAATCCCAAAATTTAATAAGTATAATATTGATCTAATAGGCCTATATTAATTGAAAAATCATTGTTTCATAGAGCTCAAACTTAGCATGACCATATATGAATGAATCGTTTCAAAGTAAACTTTTTCACTTAAAGGACTTTTTAAGTCTCCAACACTAAATAAATAAAGTAAGCGAGTATTCTATATCAAACCACCATTTATTTCTGATACTATATATAAAGTCATATTTAACATAATGAAGCAATCAAATATATTAAAGAAAATAAAGAGGAACAAAGTATTCATAAATAAGAATAAATTATTGGCTATTTTTTTATTTTCCAAGATACTTTTATCAAAAAAACATGGAAGTATTGTTTCAATTGGGAAATTAATAAAACTATATTTTTTAATACTTCTGATAATGTTATTTATTTATTAAATTAGATTTCATAATAAAGCGAAATATTAATATAAATTCATTTATAAAAAGAAAACCAGGATAATTAACTATCGAATAATACTAAGTTATGTTAATAATTAATATGATTATGGAAAATTATAGTTTAATCTTTAATTTCATAATGTTATCATAGAATTTGTTAGAATAATGAATTTAATAGCTGAATACCATTTATCAAATTATTTAGTTTATAAGAAATCAATTTACAGGTATTTCAATTAAATTAAAATTCTTATATTTTCAATAATTGTATTATAATGTTTCAATAAAATAGCATCATAGAAAATATTTATAAATGTTGCAATTTTTAATAGAAAATTTTTTAGAAAGAATTATGGTAAAAGTAAATGTAAAATTCAATTTTAAGCAAACATAGAATTAAATTTGATAATAATTTAGAATAAAAAATTAAACAGTATTAGAAATTACAAATTCTAAATATGATGAGTATTAGAAGTTTATAAATTTAAATAAAAAAAAATTAATTTTATTCATTCTCCTTCTCAATATCTTTAGAAATTTATATTATTTTTAGGATCTGCAATTATAATAATTTAATGCATTTCTTATATAAAAAGTTTAATTTAGCATTAATTCTTGAATTTGATTTAATTTTTTAACAAATGCAGAGTATTCTAGCATAAAACCTTCAGATATCAATTTTACATATGTGTCTAATTACGTATTCATAAATTTGTATAATTGAGCTATGTAAATGAAATTTTCCTTAAAAAATAAATTTCTAATACAAGTTTTGTTATCTCAATATTAAAATACTAGCTAAGTACTATAAAGGATGATATTGTCAATATAATATTGATACCTTATTTTCATATAAATTAATCTAATTTTATGAAAGACTCCAATATATTTTTTAAGAATTAAAATTTATTTTAAATGAGGACCCTTAAGTATCAGTTGACTACAAATAGATATTTTATTAAAAGTTTAATTCGATCTGATTATGCTTCACTGATCAAATATTAATAATGAAATAGTAATTCATTAAAATCATAAGGAATTTATTCCTTATTATTTCTCTTTGAAATTAATTTAAGGAGAAATTGATCATTATAAATAATTTTTAAGTTTCAAGAATATTGCTGTGAATTAAATTTTTAACATTATGAAGTGAATGCATTTTAAGCTTTATATTAAAGTAAATAATCTATATAGTAAATATTATCTATCTTTTTGCATAATCTTAAACTAATATTATGAAACTTGAGAAATAGAATTCTATTAATATGAGAGATTAAATTTAGTATTCAA